GTGTAAGGTAAATGCCAAAGTCTGTTAATACAGGGGGTATTGTTGCATATTAGGAAGTATTTTAAGGCTATTTAATTTAGACTAATTTATTTAATAAGCTTTTAATCTACCTTGTCAGCTTGCTAGTTCCATCGTGTTGCATATTTTTATATTTGCTGACATTTCTACCGGTAATGATGGGGGTATCAAGTACTGTGATTGGGGGATATGCAGTGTTCATATTTCTACATAAAAACCTCTCTGTTGCTTTTCTTTTTTTTTCTTTTCTCTTCTCTTCTCTTCTCTTCTCTTCTTTTCTTTAAGACAGAGAGAGAGTGTGTGAGCAAGCCAGGGGTGGGGGTGCAGAGGGAGAGGGAGACAGAATCTTAAGCAGGCTCCACGCCCAGCACAGAGCCCATCCTGGAGCTTGTTCTCATGACCCTGAAATCATGACTTGAGGCAAAATCAAGAGTCCAGTGCTTAACTGAGCCACCCAGGCGCCCCCCATTGCAATTTTTTAAGCACTAAGAATGCATTAGTACATTATTTCATGCTATAGGCTGATGGCCACAAATATCAAACCATTACTATGTCTTGAGTCTGCAGAAGTCAGCATTCTTTTAAAATCCTCATTCATGACTTTAAGCATAGCAAAGTTACTGGAAATGAACTGTTTTGTTTTCTGAAGGCCAAATTCCAGGACTTAATTTTTATGTGGAAAACTTCACCTCAGAGCAGAATTTTACAGCATAGTTATAAACCTCAAAGAATAGGAATTTGTAATGGACAGGGCCATTGATTCTTAACAGGAGTCACATTAACAGGTATACAAGACACATAAAATGGTTCCAAGAGCCTCTGGCAACATGTGGACATACAGAATCTTTAACATGGATTTGCAAGTTAGTGCCTAAAAGGAATTAGGCAATCAGGCTCTAAAAATCCAATTATTGATCTGCTGACATACTTTAGTTAGTTCAGGGAACTTTAGTTTGGAAGATTGTAAGTTCACTGCCCATTGAGCAGAATGATGGGTGGGGTGGGTAGGAACTTCTGAGTCAGGCTGCCCAGGGTTCTGACCCCCAGAACCCCAGCTTGCCTCTCAGCAGCCAATTTGACCTTGGACAAAGTACTCACCCTCTCTGAGCCTCACCTTCCTCCTCACAGGGTTGACATGAAAGTAAAAAGATATACAGCACTTGAAAGTACCTAGAACATAGCAATAGATCTTTAGAAATGTTTATAAATGCTAATTTTCTCCTATATAACCATTATAAAAGTATTCCTAACTCTCCAAATGATATTTCTCTGTCAAAATTTCTGTTGTGAGTGGGATACCTGTTGAAGGTGGGAACATGGTGGGGAGAGACAGCAGGGCATGACCAAGAAGCCCATGGTGATTAAATCCAAGGATTGGGCCAGGCAAGATGCTAACCCAGGTTATATGTGACAGAGGAAGATTCTGGTATAGCAGAGCTCCCCTACACCACCCAGAGGTATTTTCTGAAGCTAATGAGCCCTGAGTAGCCCCTGAGCCAAAATCCCTGCTCTGTGCCGTCTCTTTTGGCCATTCAGGTCACAGATATTCCCAATCACCTCAGCTTGTCATATTCAGATCTGGCTGGAAGCCAATCCTTAGAGCTTGTTAAGTTCCTTAAATAAGGAACTACCTACACATGGCATCTAAGACAAGTTCAGCCCTACAGTAAATGCGTGTCGGTCAGATTACATTGAAGGTCCAGTATATTTCCTCCTAAGGTCTCTAACCACTTAGTAAATATTTGTCAGATGAAAAAACGAAATGAAAACCTTTATAGAGGAAACCTGAAGATGTTGGTAGAGTGGGTCTATGGAGACAAAGGCTCTTCAGGTCATTGTTGCTGTCAACAGACCCCGTGAAAATGTCTATTGTAGGCGACCCTTCCTTGCATCATTTCCAAGGCCTCTGGGGTACACAGGGAAACCACATACAGCTTTGGGACATTTTTTTAACTACTAGCAAAAGCAGCCCATCAGAGTACTCATTTTAAAGATGCATATTTAAAGACAAGGAGGGAGGAAAGAATTCTTAAATGCAAATGGCTTTTACACTTTCCTACTTATGTGTTTTGTTCAGCAGACTAGTGTCTTCCCACACCCTTCTGCTGTGTGTGCTGCCATTTTCTCCGAATTAAAGGAAGAGAAATATTGGCACCTATCAGTTAAAAAGCCCCAGGGATCCACATACCGTCAGGGCCAGCTAGAATGAGGTGTTTATCAGGGCACGAACCCCTGGCTTCTGGGAACCCCCGGTCTGACCTCTGTGCTTTCTTCCTAAAGTCCTCAGGCCAGGGCTTAAAAGGAAATAGAACAAAATTAAGGCCACCACTGGGTGATTTAGCCTTTAGTGGATGCTGAAGATTGGTGACATGCTGGTGTTAATCAGGCAGTGTGGCCAGCACACGCCAGACACAGCCCAGAGTGGCTCTGGAACCTGCGCCAGCCTGCGGTTGGGCCTGGTGTGCAGTTTGGGCAACATTTGGAAAACAAGCTCATCCATAAAGTCAAAGTGATTTTTAAATAGAATAAACATTGAGAACAATTAAAAGGAATGAACAAGGAGCTTAATTAAGATTGACCCCCCTCCCCCCCCATCCCGCACAAATACCCAGTGATAAGGAAGCCAGCCAAACAATATAAGTGTGTTAAGGCAGAGTGGGAATACAACGCGGCCATTAAAGGTGAAAAATATGTTAGTTTTTTTAGATACATGAAATATGCATCTTTACTAATGTTGAACCCCGAAGTGGACTATTTGCAACCATTTCAAAAATGCAGGTATAATCATTAACAAACGGCAGAACCGATTTTCATAATGTTGACTAATGTTTTCATCATATTGACTAAATCCCTAATTTTTAAAAACGGACTCTCATGGCGGTCATATGCAATCTTGTGAATATTCCCTTTTGAGGACTTGATTTCAGAGTGATCCTGTCACTCTGACTAAACCGACAAGGAAGTGCCATCCCCGGGTGGCAAGGACCAGGGACTATAGTGACAAAGGAGAGCCAAAGAGCAGCAGGGCTGGCTTGAAGCCAGTGTCTGAAGCTTGATGCTTTCTGATGCTGGCTCTTCTCTGAGGAGGGTCCCCTGCCCTGGTGATCACACCCCAGCCCAGTCTCCTGAGCCTCACCCTCTTCATTCACCCAGCCATGTGACTCTGAGATGAATTCAGGGACACGTAGAACAAGAGAGGAGAGTTATGTTTTAAATTTGGAAATTGCTCAAGAAAAATCAGGCTGTCTTGATTGGCACATGCAAATGTACGCAACTGTTAATTTTCTTGCTGAAATTCCCATTTCCTTTATCCACACGAAATCTCTGAAAAATCTCCTTGATGATTCTTTTGTTCCCTTTCTGCCCCCACCCCCAGTAATTAAAACATGAAATAGTGATGTCTTCTGGCCAACCTGAGGACCTGGTGGTGACATCAAGCCCAGGCCACTGCTGTTGGCCCCAGGTGACATGCTGGGGCCAACAGCAGGGACGGGCTGCTGACGTAACTGTCTTCATTTCTAATGCTGGTAGTAACCAACAGCGTTTAGTTTTGCTTTGACAACTCCTCCTACAGCCAAAACTATTGTTATGGCCCACATGTCATTGCTATTTATCCTAAATAAGGAAAAACAAAGGCTATTCTGGGCGTAGAGCAGGGCTTGTGGCTGGGTTTATTTGCAATATTACCATGGCACGCTGCCCTTCTCACTGTGGCCACACCGTGATTTTTCTGAAAAGTGCTGCAACAGACACACGGCCTTCTCTTAAGTCTTTTCACACAGCCCCAGGGCATCAGAATGCACTGGAGATGTTTTACGCACATATGAAAAACTGCCTAGACCTCAGGGGAGACCAGACTGTGCTTGCACAAAATGAACCAGGAAAAAGCGCCCTCCTGAAAGCTGTCTCTGCTTTGCCATTTGGATTCTTCTCTCTAATTTCTGAACCTTGTAAACTAAAACCATCTAGTAGTAAGAGTCCTGACTTTACAGCACCCCTGTAGGTATATTTTTGCCACCATGCATTGAGAAATAGGGGCGGGGGGAGAGAAAGGGCAGAGCCGACAGGAAAGTGAGAGTGGGGGGGGAACTGAGTGTTTCCTGCTGTGCTTATGACTTTGACAGTTGCCAGTGCCCAGCTTAGCTGCGAGAGCTATGTGAACTGCTCCCATCAGTTAGAGAGGGACTTTGGGGATTGGAGCGCCCCAAGGACAGCCTGCAGCCTGGCTCCTGGTATGAGAGACGCTGTGGGCACTTCAAGCCAGGATGTGCTCTTGAAGCTCGATCCACAGCAGAGAAGCCTAAGTGGCTAAGCATCCCTGCCTGTTTGCACGCGCTGCCTCGGTAAGCCCTCGCTTCATTTCTTCAACCTTGAAAGCTTCCAGCAGGGATCAAGGGAAGAAATATTGTATTGGGATTTATAGATCTCCCCCTTTCTGCCTTATCCAGTTTGATATTTGCCTGTTAAAAAGATTATTGAATGCAATGGAACACGATGATCTGTCTAGCTGCATTTCGCTCGTCTGTGTACGTAACATGTCCCAGGTGAGGCCAGACATGAGAAATGCAGACTAATCGTTGCTGTCTGTTGCTGTATATGATGACACTGGGTGTTCAGCTGCTCTCAGGATTTGAGACCCTGGACTTGTTATCTGCTCTGTGACACCGCCTGCTTCCTGCCACAGAGCTCCTGATTTCTGTGGATGGCAGTTGATAATTGGTAGCCACAGTCTGCGGTCAGAGCCATAGCATTTGAGTCTAGCACCTGGGCTGGGCCCCGCTGATACAGTAGAGAGAGAGACAGACAGAAGCACTCACACACACACACACACACACAGTCACACACTCACACCCCTCGCTGGCTATAACTGCAGCTCTGAGCTGCCTAAAGAGGAGATGGCCTGAAGCTGAAGGGATGCTTTGAACTTGGGGGGGTGGGGGGGCTGCATCACGGTTGGACTCCCCCTTGCAAAGGACCCGATTATGTCCAGTGACCACCTGAACAACAGCACACTGAAGGAGGCCCCGTTTAAAGACCTGTTCTTGAAAAAAGGTACACTTTCAAAGGGCAGCTGTGGGTGATGCCTGTTCTCTGGGGTTTGTGGTGGTTGTTCTTGGAGTTTGGTCTGAGGACAGAGTTGAGAAGAGTAAGAACTCTTTCTCAAGAAGTTCATATCTACCTAAGAAGGGTCTTTCAGCTCTGAGAATGCCTCAGGGCTTGACTCTCTGTGGGAAGATGTATTTTAGGCTTTCTCATCTTCTTTCTCATCTGCGATCAGTTTGTTCCTGGTGGAGATGCTATACACGTAAATATACAGGTTTGTTGCTTTGGAGCTTTGTTTTTTCAAATGTTCTATACTGAGACTAACTCTCCCCCACCCCCGGAAATTCTATTACTGCTAGACTCATGGGTACTTTTTTTTTCACCCGGAGTCGTTGAAAACAGCATCTGAAAGAAAAGATGTATTTCTCAGGATGTGGGTGGTTTACTGGGTTGTTTCTCAGGTCACCAGTCTAGTAACAGTAGACCTGAGGCAAGCCAGCTGTGACTCTTGAGAGGCAGCCTGTGGAGACAGAGAGAGACTGCTAGCTGGGGAGCATTCAGAAGCCACTCTGCTCTTAAATGTGAAGGAGATGGTTACTTGTGCAGCTGTATATTTTTCGGATACATTTTCCTAAATTAATAATGTGGGTGTGGGGTGGGGGTGGATTTTAAATGAATCCTATAGAGGGAGTTATGGATTTATGTATGTATTTTTTTCCATTTATAACATAGTGGAGGGATAGACTTTTTTTTTTTTTTGGAGGGATAGACTTTTAAAAGGTTTGTAATTGCTTTTACTCCTCTGCTATGTTTTCAGAAAAATCCTGTCAGTCATCTTTGAGTGGAACATATTTAGCTAGATTTCTTTCTGAAGAGATCATGAAACTCTAGATTCTAAAATGTATGATGAAAAGTTGAATTGGATGAATGCTTGGACCTTAGTAATTTAAAAAGACATTATTCTAGCTGGATGGCCCTGCAGTGTCTGCGTTCTAGGGATTCAGTAGTCAGTCAATTTATTGGTCACTGCCCCTTGCCTGCCAGTGTCATTAAAGGCACCTGGCTGTGGGCTCGAGTCAGGCAGATGTGGGCCACACCTTGCCCTCAGAGAGTCCTGTGCCGTTTGACTGCGCTCTGCTTTCCCCTCTCCTCCTAGAGATCATAGGTATCATTTCCCACATTTAGTATCATGCAAAACATTTTATATAAATATATTAATGGAAATAGGATTCTGTAAACAGGTAACTTATAGCAACCATGAGGTTCTTTTTCGGGTGATAGTTCACACTGCCTAGAATAGTAATAGTTGAATAATTTTTAGGAAATATGAAAACCTTTGGCAAAACTTCATCACTGAAGTCATTAGTAAATGTTTGGTGGAATATGGCTCTGTGCTAGACATTGTTAAAAGCAGATTAGGCAATTGGGACCCTTCCTTCTATGGATCTCTTTAGCTGTTTATCTAAAAATGAACACTAACTTTATGCAAGTCATGTGCTGCCTACTGACGATATTAATGGAGATCAAGATACTATCCCAGAGATTACTCCATGAGGAAGAAGACCAGAAAATGGTCAGTATAAGTGATAAGTCCTATGACAGGGTTCAGCTGCATGCTAGGGAGCCTCCCAAGGGAACCATTATCAAGCAGTTAGGAAAGAGCTCCTTAAGGAAGATAAAGCCTGGGAGGTGACACCACATTGGCGTATTTCTGGGGGTAGTTCTTTTCCCCTTCTTTTGTTCTACTTGTTATAGGATAGATTGGAATAGCCAACCAACCCAAGGAAAAGAAAATTCAAAATATATAATCTAATCATTATGATTATAGCTCTTACTGTTTTGCCTTCTGAACTTCAAGCTGTGAAATTATTCATATAACACAGGCTGAATTTTCCCCCCTCAACCATGGTGTTTAATGAGTGTGAATTTTCATTCAGCCATTAAAATCTCCAAGAGTATTTTTAAACTAACAGTTCACAAACTTGAGGCAATTATGGTCTATGTAGATTCCAACTCCTGCCCCCACCGCCCGGTCTCTGTAGGATTGGGGCAAGAACTTACCAGGCTTTAGGAACATTCAGCACTTTAGAAGTGTCACAGAGCCATAAATAAAGAGTAAGACGCCCTCCGAGGCTGTCCTCTCTGCCCAGTAGGACAGAGAGGCAGGAAATGCACATACTCATCCGCGGTGCATGAGCCCTGCTGGAGACCTAGGAAAGCTTCCTGGGAGAGAGGGCTGCCCAGTGTAGGCCTGTGCGGCAGCTAGCCACAGTCTCGGTATTCCCAATAGACTGTAGCACTTGGGGGAGCAAAGTGGAGTGCTGTCATTGGTTAGGGTGGGGGAGGAGCCGTTTGCGGTGGTGTGTAGGGCTTTGTGGAAAGCATTCGGTGTTTTCAGTGACATTACAGTATTCTGCATGGCAACTTCTCTGAATGCGGGCCGCCAAGGTATTTCCTGGGCTGGGTGAAGGGGGGCGCTGATGAGAGGCTCAGACTTTGCACCCCCCACCCCATTTATGGAGTCTGTAAGGGCATAAATTACACATCTGGAGCTTTAAAATTAAACATTGAGAAAATAGGACTCCTGTGAAGGATGATATATTAACGGAGGAAAGACCAAGTGGAAGACGGTGTTAACCATCCCACAAATAGAAATGAGGGTTATATTAGGAACCTAAGGTGGTAGAACCACGCTTCCCCCAAGTTCTTTAAAAATAGTACAGATGCTTATGCCTCTAGTATGAGTCAGTTCAGCTCTTCATTGAACCAGAGAATAGACCAACAGGCTTCACACAATTTCCTCTGTTCTTGCAGTTCTCCACTGCACAGCCTGGAGTTTCTTGGGGATATTCTATAAAAATAGAGAGATGCCATCATCACCATCATCACTGTCTCTGTTTTATAGTAATAAAATAAGGTGCGGTGATGCCTTCCTGTAAGTTTTAGGCTAAATTTATCATAAGATTTCTGGTGTTTGGATTGCAGTGACTCATCCATTGTAACACTGTGAACCAGAGCCCCATGAAAGGAGGGGGTGTGAAAATTTGACTTCGGCCTAAAATTATTTCCTTGCATGGATTGCTTTTTGGCGTTCCTCTGTTGATGTCAGTATCTACTGGAATCAAGGAAAACTGACCAGTGGGCTGTGTTCAGAGTCCGAACTGGGCGCATGAAATTTTGGAAACCCTAAAATATCCTGTTATTTTCTCAGAACTCTACTATTCCTGTAGATTTTTTAAAAAATCTTTTAATCTTTGTTTTAAATTGTTCTTCCTTAGCCTCCTCTTTCCACCCCATTCCCAAAACCAAAATCACAGGCGTTTTTCCTTTCTGGGCACCATTGCACATTGCCTCTCCTCTACCATGAGAAAACAGACAGCACCTTGTCAGGCCAGATGTGGGCAGCCCAGGGTGAGAGAGGGAGAAGCAGCAAGGTCCCAGTGCAGTGCCAGGCCTCACCTGGCGTCTGCCTCCTTCCTGTGCACAGACTATTGCTCCGAGACGCCCCCTTGATTCAGGAAGCAGTAGCATGCATGCTTCTGTCTGAAGAATATGCCTCTTCAGGGCCTGTCAAAAGCGTCTCCTACGGGGTGGGTAACAGGCCTCACCGTACCTTCGGCTGCTCTGTATATACAGCCTTTGCACCCTGGGCGTCCCAAGCTTGGAGCACAGTGAAGATGAATCAGTGATGTGTAAAGGAGGAGGGTGTGTGGGGGGGCGCATGAGCACAGCCCCATAGACATGCACACGTGTGGGAAAACACGTGGCCACGAACTGCTACCTTGAAGGGAAGGTGGTTTCAGCAAGAAGTGAAGAGTGTTCAACCTGCCTGAGCCCTGACTGTGCAGTACAGGAAACTGCTGGATAAGGTCCCCAGAAGCCCCCAAAAGGTCTGTGGTTGAGATCAGGAGTACAGCAATCTTGAAACTGGACACCTTGAAGAACAGGTGTGCTGAACTTCATCTGATATTTGCATCCGGAAGTGAGAAAGCAAGGTTTGTTTTGTTTTTTAATGTAAAGCTTCTTTTACTCGTCCTGTGGGTTATTTTCTTGAGAAGGTGTAAAATCAGTCCATTGGCAACAAAGCCGCACCCAGGGACCGCCAAACACTTTGGGGGCCCCGCGGCCTCTGAGCAGTATCCATGCAGGAGTGAAGGGTTCAGGAGCAGCCAAGGAAGAGACAGAAATCACCATCACCATGATTACACCATGTATGGAGGCGGGGGGGGACTGGGTTTCCCATCTACCATGTCCAGGCTGTTGATATCCTATAGTGGTGTGGTCTTTACTTAATTTGCCTTTTATGATGCATGTTTTAGTAGAATTTTCCTGTTTAAAGTACAAGAGGGTGTGGAAGGACCAGTATGAGGGGCTGCTCACATACCCCCTTGTCTTGAAGGGAGAGGTTATCAGTAACGGAGGTCTCTGGAGTCTGGATGTCATCACACTTGTCCCCAAGAAAACTCATTCTGTTTACTCCCATTTTCACTCGGAGAATTCTCAGGACCCCTCTTGGAGAAGTATTGATAGCCCCAAAGAGAGTAGAACCTTCATACTTCCCTGTTGTTAGTGTTTGAGAAAGCAGTCTTGTTTTTATTGACTGTGTATTTTGCCCAGAGTTCAAAGTGAAGGTCAGCTGCACATTTTACTGGGGCTCTGCCACTCTGCTGAGGCTCCTTCCCCAGAGGCCGCACTTCAGGCTTCAGGGAGCACCCCAGGTGACCCTGGACTGCAGCGGGGGCCGACTAGCTTCTGCTGTGTTTACTCTTGCTCCTGCATCTGGTTAGGACTTGGTTGTTGGGACCATGACCTTTGGGACCCGGGTCAGGCCCTGCGGGAAGAACTGCCTCTCGCACTGGTCCGGGGTCTGTAGCAGCTGAGGCTCTGATTGGGCTTCCGTCACCCAGATTGGCCCGCAGGGCTACACCGCTGGGCTGTTTGCCTTCTTGAGTGGCACCCTGGGAACCCAGTCCCTGACAGCCTGTGCCCTTGCCCTGCCCCAGGCGAGCTCCGCACTGTTTCGATGGCCGTGAACCCCCTGGGGTCTCTGCATGTCCTGCGTTCTGTAGGTGCACCTGCCATGGTCGTACTTGTGCATGGAAACTCGGGACAGTGGTCCAGGAGCTGTTCTGGCCACGTCTCAAATCCTGGCATCAGGAGGGTCCCCAAGATGTCCAGGCCATTAGTGTTTGTACTCGAGTGCCTGCTGTCAGCCAGTCTAGACCGCCATTTCTCCAACTGTGGCTCAAGGATCTCTGGGGGTCTCCCAGAACAGTCTCCAGTGGTCAGTAAGGGCAGATCTCCTTCAACACCTTAACTGAACAAACATGTCACAACAGACGGAAGGTGAAGCAGAGGGGAGAATCCAGCTGTCTTTTTATTAAGGCGTATATTGTAAGAGACGCACAGAAGGGTAAAGCAATTGCCACTCTTATCACTAAACTTTTGTTTTGAAAAACAGTGTATTTGATTGTTATATATGTTAACATGAGTTTATTTTTCAATGAATAAATTTTTAAATGTTGCAGTGTTAGTTGTAAATGTGGCAAATATCAATAGATGTCATCCATACGAATAGAGCTCTTTTGGGGGTTACCAGTAGCTTTTAAGAGCATAGAGGGCTCCTGAGAGCAAAGCACTGGAGAGCTGTTAGTGTAAGCAGAGCGGGAGCATGGAGCCGAGGGAGGAAGGGCAGCAAGTTAGGACATGTAGTGGGGGTGGGGTGGGCTTTCCAGGTGTTGGCCCTCAGCAGGGCCAGGGTAGGGTGCACTGCACATGGAATGTCCATAAGAAAGCTGAAGAGGCGCAACCTTCGAGCGGTAGTCCTCCTTTAAAAGATTCCATACACTGTTTCCCACAACTGAAATCTTTCTTAGAACTCTTGCTTGCGATGAACTTTTTAATGTAATGTTAGATCAGAAGATTCATGCCTTTCAGATGATATCAAATGTTCTATGTGCTGTCTCAGGCCAAAAGAAGTCAAATCCAGAGTGAATACAGATCTAAACATAAAAACCTTAGAAAAAGTATTTTTAGAATATTGGCGAAGACCTTCCTAATCAAACAGGAAGCTTAGAAGCCATAAAAGGAAAAAATAGTATTTCATGACATAAAAATTATTTATATCTTCTGTGGAGAAACTCATGGCAAAATTAGTGACAGACTAGGAGAAAATACTTGCAACACATGTAACAGACAAAGCTTTGTGGTCATAATACGTGAAGGCTGCTTACCAATAAATAAGAAAATCACAAATAAGCTAATATGAATTAATATGAAAAAGAAAAATACAAATTGCCAGTAACCATAGGGGAGGATGTAAAATTCCTAGTAATTGGGGAAATACAAATTAAAACAAGATATGTATTTTTGCCCATCAGATTAGTGCAAATGAAAAGTGCGAGTATTCAGCATTGATGAGCGTGTGGAGCCCTTTCCTAAGGCAGTCTCAGTAGCCATCAGCATTTAAAAGGATATGTCCTTGACCCAGAAATTTCAATTTTAGGAATCTTTCCTGTAGGGATACTCAAAATGTGGGTCAACACTCATATTCACACACATACGTACACATGCACACACAATCTTTTGATCATAATAGAAAAGGAAAAAAAATACCCAGACATCTATCACTTGGAGAATATAAATTCCAGTATATCAGTATTCTGGAATAGACAGCCACCATAAAGAATGAGGTTGGTTTTTATATATTCTTGTTTAAAAATGTTTGTGATATATTAAGTGAAAAAAAGCAGAACAATGTATTTGTAAAACGATTTCACTCATTGAAAGAAGAAAGCCCTTATTCAATAGGCAAATACGCAGCTGCATACAATGGATGAACTGTGCTGTCTCCCAGGGCGGCATGGGCTTGGGTGGGGTCAGGGAGTGCTGCAGGCCTACAAAGGAGAACTTTGACATTGTACACTATTTCCTAAAGTATTGTTTACATTTTAAGGAAGTCTTCATTATTTTTATAATAAAAATCCTTTTCAAATGAAACACAGATATACCCCCAATGCCCGTAGAATTATGGAAAACATAATTTGACTGTGTGGCTACAAATTGTTATCTGCATAGCTTTCTATATACAGGAAAAGATAACCTAGAAAGACATCCTCCAGGTGAAGAATTAACCCCTGAAGACTTTGTGCAGAACCCCTCACTGTAATCATCATTTTCTTCTTTTTCCATGTCCATAGAGCAATGAAGCTTTTTTTTTTTTTTAAGATTTTATTTGTCAGAGAGAGAGCACGTGCGCACAAGCGGGGGTGCGGCAGGCAGAGGGAGAAGCAGGCTCCCCACTGAGCAAGGAGCCCAATGTGGGACTGGATCCCAGGACTCTGGGATCGTGACCTGAGCCAAAGGCAGATGCTTAACGACTGAGCCACCCAGGCGCCCCTCAATGAAGCTTTTTTGAGAAAAGAAAACATTTGTCAATTCCAGGGCTTGATTTAACCTGATGATCAGCCATTAGGCCTTGGGAGGTGTCCAGAACAATGACAGCCATGCAGGGTGGGGGTAAGGTAGGTAGCACAGCCCCAGGGCCTTGCTGACTACCGGCATTGCCTCTTGAGCTTCCTCAGTCAGCCACCACCATGGGATCTACCCTTTTACTGCCCAGTAGGGCTGTGCCTGGCAAACCCACGTGGCCTCAGCTACTCACCACATCGTTGCAGCGGTTCGGTTCCCTCACACTCAGCTCTCCGTTCTCCAGGGTGCACATCTGGGCCCATCCCGCTATAGGCGCCATGCCAAGTACAGTCCAGCCAGTCCAGCGAGCACATTTGTACATCTTTGTCCCTTGGGTGTGTATGGGCCAAAGGCAAGAGTGGAGGGCAGTGTCACAGGACTGGACATGGTGAGATCCAGGAACACCCTGTGTTTATTCCCATGCCAACTCTAGCCCCCCTGTTTCCAGGGTATGGATGGTGGGGGCTCACAGGTGCAGACATTGGGTTCTAGACGGTGCTACCTAGTCCCTTCCTGCGTTATCCCAAATGTGAGCCCATACACCGAGAGATAACACCTCTCCACTGGCCATCAGCCTGTGTTCTACAGCAAGAGGGTGTGTGTGTGTGTGTGTGTGTGCATGCCTTGTGTATATGCATATCTACATACATGTGTTATTTACTCGAACACATGCATACATGTGTGTATGTGTGTGCACGAATGCACTGTGCCCATGTGTGTGCATGCAGGTGTGTGCATGTGTGTGCATGCAGGTGTGTATGTGTGGGTGTGTGCATGTGTGTGTTGCAGGTTCCAGGCAGGGACACAGTTGACAGAGCTCTCCCCTTTCTCTTCCTCTTCATTAAAGCCCATACCTCCCTACCTCACAACAAAGTTGTGTGCTGTCTTCCTCACCATCTTCCAGAGCCTCTCACTGTTTAAGTTGACACCCGTGCACAATCACTTCCTTTCACTGTGTGGGGAGACTCTGAGGAAACGGGTGGGCAACATTCAGCAAAGCCATGAGCTGTAAGTTAGAAAGCAGGAAATCTGGGTTCTAGGATTGACCTTGAGCAACGAGCCTCTGCTTCCTCCCTGCAAATCTGAAGGGCTTGAATCACCCACCTCTCAGTGCCAACTCAGTGTTCTAGAAGTAGCTCCACGGCGCTGTCCTAGAGCGTGACGCATGTGTTAATGGCAGTTCGGAAATCCTTTGTAATGACAGTGTCAGGAATGCAGTTTCTGACCGCTTGTAAAATATGGTGCCTGCAGGGTTGGAGACAGCGGAAATGTGTTTTCTAAATTACTTCCAAAGGCAAGGCCCTGAGTAAAGGAAGTTGGAGCTTTTTATCAACACATTTTCCCTTCGGTGTGTTGTGTAGATCCTGTCTGGATGTACTTTGGAAAATGTGACTCAACTCTAAAGATGGGTTTAACATTCCTGGAGAGATTACACTGGGAGGAGCAACTTCAGTTTTGCAAGACTTTCTTACCTCCCCCGGGGACAGGGCCATCCTCCAGGGCCTGCCTGCCCAGGGGAAGGGGTAGCCTGTGTAGCCCTCAACCTGTGGCAGGCACACAGGGCCAGAACTTCGAGTTCCGGGTGTGAACAGGGTCAGTTACAGCACAGCACCTCTAGAGGTCTTGTAGAGCCAGCAGAATACATTTTCCTAAGGCCCTTACTCATTAAGCAATTTGCAAAGGCAAGGTTTGTCTGAGCACTGTGCATGGGCTGACCACCAGAGGTCTTTTGGAAAGAACCCCATGCCAGGGGTTCTCTTTCTTCAGATGTTCTTCAACTGTCGAAGTCTGGCAATGGCCTTGGGCAACAGGGCTGGGGAAAAATAGTTTCTCTTTCTTGAGGTCCTTGAGAGGACCGGGTGCTTGCAAGAAGCCCTCAGCACCTGGTAGTTGTGCTGCTCAGAGGGCTGGGTGATGGCACAAAGGGCCACGTGGCTAACGGGCTTTCCCTTTCCATCACAGCGGAGCTGGAGTTTGCCCAGATCATCATTATCGTCGTGGTGGTCACGGTGATGGTCGTGGTCATCGTCTGCCTGCTAAATCACTACAAAGTCTCCACACGGTCCTTCATCAACCGCCCGAATCAGAGCAGAAGGCAGGAGGACGGGCTACAGCCGGTAAGTGTGGGCCTGAGCCTCTTGGTGCTGCCCAGGCCTCTGTCTCAGGCTCCAGAAGTGAGGCTGGGTGTCCGCAAGGGCCACAAAGCAGGACAGCCTCTTGAGTCAGCCCAGTGTGGCCCATCGGTATCAAAAACTCTATGGAAGGTTCCTATACTTCAAGAAAAGCCTGTGCATCATGAGCGTAAGGCTCAGGGAGTTCTCACAAACCAAAGACACCTGTGTAACCCCTACCCAATCAGACAAGACACATAATTCCCCTGAGTTTAAAGAGAGAGGACAGAGAGAAAAGCATATTCATAGCAACAGTTTCAGAACTGCAAAAGGATCAGCCATCACTGCTTTGCCTAAGCCTTAATGCAAAGATCATAAGTGCTGACCCCCAGTCTTGGGGGAAAGAGGTAAAACCATCCTGACTCCTTGTCATCAATAGGCAGCTCTCAAGTTTCCATGAAGTGCCTGCCATGAATTTACCCAAGGTCCCTGCCTTAGGCTTTCTGTTCCAATCCCCAGAGGATCTGAAGTCGCTGCACACAGGGACTCAGACTGCTTTCTTGTGCTTGGCCTGGGTCCCCACCTACCTCTGTCTTCCCCTCCGATTTCATTTGGGGATCACTTTGCTTCTACGTGACTTGCCTCGCATTGATGAGGTGGCTCCTTCCTCCACTCCTCAGTGCAGACGTGGCCACGTCTGCTGTCACCGCCCCTGTCCACTGTGGCCTAAGCACCAGCCCATGGGTCTGCTCCCCAGACTGGGAGCTCCATGACCCAAACAGGTGATGGGACGCATACATACACACAGTCACACACTTACCAGCAGGATAACAATTTTACAAAGGCAGAAAAGTGAAAGTTTAAGTTTGTTTTTATGTAGAATGTGTCTTCTGTTTCATTTGGGAATGGGTCTGTGTGGAGCCATCTTCTGGGGGGTGGTGGCTCGCCTGTGTCTACCCTGCTCCAGGGGTTGCTGGGCAGCAGAGCCTCCATTTCTTGAAATTGAGAAGGTAATTAGTAATTTTTGGATGTCTCTTCAGGGCTACACAGCAAATGAAGATAATCAATATCTAGTGATCGTGTCCACAGAGGTCTTTATCCCACTATGTGCCTAATTTTGTTAATAAATGTCTGAAAGTTTTAGCTCTGAGAGCTGGACCGAGATGCAGGCTGCACACAACTTGGGGTTTAATTCCTTTGCTGCTACTCTACTATTTTTTGTTTTCTTTGCGTGACCCAGTACTGAGTGCCGTTGCTTCTCAAAGCTTGAATTTTCCTTCTCGATAAAATGGGAATGGGGATATGGCACAGCTTAGCAATAGGCTCTGTTCAGTGTTTCACAAACTCAAGATGTATTTTTACACAGTGACTGGAGACAATTCAGGCCCAGACTGTAGCCCCATTTCATGACTAGGACAACTGACCTGTGTATAATCCAAAGAGGGAAGAGAGAGGGTGAGAAAGAAACCTTAACTTCTCTTCTAGACACAAATATGAATACAGCCAGCACTGTGGGCCATTTACAGTGTTCCTGGCCACCCAGGAAAGTGCCCCCAACCAGACTTCTTGCCTCCTCTTTGCTTGCCTCTCCTCCTTAATGCCTTTCAAGAAATGCTGCCTCCCTTAGGACAGTACTAGGAGAGCAATTGATTAATTTACACTCATGGTTCCCCGATGGGGCGATTTTGGCCCCCTGGGGGACATCTGACAATGTTGGGAGACATTTTTGGTTGTTATAACTTGGGGATGCTACAGCGTTGCTCTAAACATCCTGCAAGGCACGAGGCAGCCCCCACGACAAAAAGAAAAAAAAACGACCTGACTCTAAATGTCAGTAGTGCCAAAGTGGAGGACCCCTGGTTGAATGCCACCCTTTCTAAAGAAACTTCGCTGTTTGAAGAGGAGGCCTGTTAGTATAAGTGGGCCTCGCATGGCTGGCTCTGAGGCTTCAACAGAGTGAAGAGAACACTTCCCCACAGCATGGTGGAAAGTGTTAGGGGTCCCTTGCATGATCAGAGGGTCCTGGTCCGAGACTGTGCCTCGGAATAGTTTCCCCCACCCATTTCTACCTTCCTTTGTTCATTCAGCCATTCGCTGAGCAAAATAATGAAGAAACAGTGTGACGTTTCCTTGCCCCTGACCGTCCCTGCTGCCATCAGCAACATCCAGCTGGCTAATTCTCTTTGGCATTTTATCAGTCTCACTGGGACAGGCCAGGGGTCTCCAGTGGCCATTTGTGTAAACGGTAGGAGGGGTTTGGGATGGGGCATGAGGATCCAGAGTAGAAGTTGCAAGTTGCACATCCAGGTGGCCCTCCCTCAACATCCCAAACTGACCACCTGTGCCAACCAGCCTCCTCCCCTGAGGGGCTCAGACGGAACTTGACATTGAGGAAGGCCCGGCTCTTAGTGACAGAGCTTGTTGCTGATGGCCTCCCAGGTTCCCCGTGGTGTTGTACATATTTGCGCTCCTTGGGGGAAAGGTGACTGGTGAAGCTGGGTGCATTTGTGGTTGCTGCTGTCCATGTGGTTTCAGAGTCCTGTCTGTCATCAGAGCACCTGAGGTGATCTGCTACTGAAGCGCCTTTCCGGACGTCAGCATCGAAATCCTGCCTTCCCTGGAGCCTGAGTGGCGGGGCTGCAGGACCCAGCTAGCTGGCAGCTTGTGGGTGTAGGATGCCACCCGTCAGCCTCACCAGGGGTGAGCGTCTCATGGTTCTAAGCCTGTGCACTGCTGAGAGACCCCCTCACGTCTGGGAGCCTTTTAGCCCATTTATTCTAGAACCATGTGAGGCCTGCTGCGCATGTTAGGAAAGATGTATTCATTTTAAACTTGTGTGAAAAGGGCTGTGCAATGCACAGGGCAGCCCCCACGACAAAAAAAAGCGATCAGACCCTAAATGTCAGTAGTGCCAAAGTGGAGAACCCCTGATCTCAGCAGGTGAGACAGTAGTTGGGTTTCATTTTCGAGGAAGAGGTTGAACATGTAGATGTTCTGTTTTGACTGAGGAAACTTCACTGCCCTGGTGTGAGCTGCCCCCTCGCCTCACTGATGGGCTTTCCACTTAGACTAAAGGGAAAAGCAGAACTAGGGTTCATAAGATACAGTCTTAATAGCTGTGAATATCCCTGGTTCTCAGGGAGAGTCTTCTTATGGAAAATGGTTGGTTGGACCAGTTGCCCCTTTGGGCCGAGTGTCAGACTCACCCTGATTCTGGGAGGTTTGCTTTGTGAAGTCAAAGGTACCTTCCTCCATGACTCCACCACATGCCTCCTTCCGCACATGGCCCCCCCTCCCAGAGACTCCCTCCCCAGCTCTAACAGTGTCTTTTGGAAGCACACACTTTCTGTGCCAGCTTCCTCTGGCGAAGGAAGCAATGGATGGCAATCTGCTTTGGCCCCGGCCAGTCAGCTTCCATCACCACGGTATCTCTGAGACACCGGTCCATGGGAGCCCAGGGACAGGACAGTCCTGGCCATGAATGTGGTGGAAGCCGCCATTTCTGGATGAAAATGAAAAATAGCAGCCTAGGCTTAAATTACAAGAAAAGTAAATGCTTAACTAATGGCAAAGAGCCGTGAGTGGCTTTGTGATAGAAACCTGTATGTATTCTTCCTGAGGTAGCCTTGGCTTATTTTTCAGAGCCTGGGTTTATGTGATTTCAGGGCTTTGAGACTGTCTAGATCTCTTTCCATCACCTTAGACTGCCAAGTAAACAGGAAAACAATAAAGGGGCATAAATATTCCAGACACAGCCCTGAGAGGTATTTGCACACGTCACTGGAGCCTCTCTCACCAGAGTTTGCGGGCAGTGATGGGGGCATGAGCAGCCTTCTCTGACAGCCTGTAGTGAACCCACCGGGACAGCCCAGGGTGCAGTGGACAGAGGAAAGAGGCGAGGTCCTCAGCCACTTACTGAGGAACAGCAGAGGGACAGAAACATTTGACTTAGTTTGAACTATATGAAATTGGGGCTCTTCAGCCATTCTGACCTATAAAAACAGCAATTTCAATTAAAAATTAACAGAAGGAGGCCTGTCAAGCCTTTCTTCCTTGCTAAGTGCTGCCGGGATTAAATCCCTTGTGAAAACACGGGTGCCTCGGCCTCCCCGCGGAGATGGAGTGGCGCCAGGCCAGCGCTCGGCGCCGCCTGTGCCATCCCAGCCCCGCGGGGAGGTGCAGGTGGGATGCTGGGAAGGACACCGTTTGTTTTGTCTCCCCGCTTTTGGGAGGGAGGACATGACTACAGCGACCGGCTGTGTCAGTACAGAAATGTGGGTTCCGGAGACGCAAAGTGTCCCGGGGTGCGGGAAGTCCACACGCAAAGTCCCTCCCTACAGATGTTGCCGACTTGGCCTAAGGTGTGGCCAAGTGCATATGGCTTGCCTCACAGGGTGTTCTGACAAAACTTGATGGAACGGTAAACACTGAGAGATTTCACATAAAAACTGGAACTTACCTCTTCTCTGAAAAGTCCACACTGGCCTCTAGTCTTGCCTGGCAGCCCGAAGATGGGGCCACTCTGAATGGACTAGTGCACACCTTTTGACTGTGGACCCATCTTTCTATGGGGAACCCTCAGTTGTGGGTAGGGTGCCGTGGCCATCGATCGCTTTGCACAGTGGTGGTTGTTTTTAGAGAAAGTATATCCTGCACTCATGCTTCTATCACAAGGGTGAAAACAAAAGGTAGACCAAGAGAGCCACTAATTTCCAAAGGAATGGGAGAGAACTTCCTTACAGAAGCAGTTCAGGAATCCACCACACTGGGCTCAGAGCTCACGGTGCTTGCAAAGCCCACAGGCTGTGTCCTGGGCCCAGTGAAGGGTGCGGGGAGTGGGGGCATCACCACACACACAGCTCATTCCCACTCTGACTGGAGAGGTGGGCTGCTGTGTACCTGCCTTTTCTCATTTCTACTTAGGTTTAGAAAAGCATTTCGAAAAACATTTCTAAAATGACTGGCTTTATTTAGCATCGGACTGAGATGAAAGATGGCAGGGGACA